AAGAGGGACATGATGCTTGGAAGGGTGGAGGGAGGGTAAGCCAAGGAGAAGAAAACCCTCAACCAGGTGGACTGACATGCTGACTGCCACAACGGATTCGTGTGTGAGAAAGTGTGTGTGAAGATGGCACAGGATGGAACAGGGTTCAGATAATTGTTCATAGGGTTACTATGAGTCGTGCTCAACTTGACGGCACCTAACCACCCCACCTGGAAACGGAAAATATTGTGGGACTTGGATCAAGTGCATATTTAAACTGGTATCCTTGCTCTTGATCTTCCTGACAGCAGATTTTTCCAATGTGACATGTCTTTGGATTACTTAACTGCTGTTACCAGGAACTACCAAAAGAACAAATAGATAGGTGTTAGAAAGAATTCAGCCCGAGTGCTCCTGGAAGAGCCAAGGCATCGTCCTTCATATGTTGGGTATGTACTAGGTGAGGCTACTCCTTGGAAAGAGACATCATGCATGGAAAGATGGAAGGTCGGAGAGGAAGACCCCCAACAAGATGGACTGAGACAGTGTTTTCTAGTGTGTCAGAGTTAGCGAGGAGGGTGATTGTTTATAAAGTCGCTATGAGTCATACCCAGCTCAACAGCACATAACAACTACTACTACTACCATGGGTGCTGACTGTGGATTCTAGTAAAATAAAATCACTGTCAACCTCAGTCTTCTCTCCATCTATCACAATGTTGTCTAACAGTACGGTGGTGGGGTTTTTCGTTTATGTGATGTTAAGATATCAGCCACATTGGAGGCTGTCATCTTTGATCATGTTTTAAGTTTTCCTCACGATCTACACGTAAGGTGCATCAACTGGACAATGCAGTAAGTCTTCCTCTAATCCTGGCACCACATTCATCTTCCTATGATCCAGTTTTTTAATTATATGCTCAACATATACACTGAACAGCATGGAAGGAGGAGTGGCATCCACTTCCATAATAGCTTGCCTCCGGAAACCCTATGAACCTGGAGAAAGGATGAAAGGCGCCCAAGCGTCGAGGACTCTCCTTCACAGGGTTGCTATGAGTCACCTGCGACTCAACGGCACTCAACAACAACAACAACGTACACTGAAGAGGTTATGGAGAAAGGATACAACCCTGATGCATACTCAATGTCTGCCATAATTAGTTATGATACGTACATCAAACACTTTTTTGCAGTCAATAAAACACAAGTAAACACCTTCCTAGTATTCTCTACTTTGAGCCAAGATTCACTGACATTAGCAATGACATCCCTTGTGCCATGGTCTTGTTTGAGTTTTGTTTGAATTTCAAGATGTTCCATGATGATATACTGTTTCAGCTGTTTGAGAATAATCCTCAGTAATATGTCACTTAACTGTATGTTACACTTAGGGATACTGATCATTTCCACACTCTTGTTAGATCATTATTTTGGGGGATGAGAATAATGTGGACCCTTTCTGGTCAGCTGTCCAGATCCTTAGCTGTCTTTCAAATTTCTTGGCATAGAAATAAGCACACCCAGTGCTTCATCTGTTTGTTGAAACACTTCAGATGGCATCCCATCAAATCCTGGGTCCTTAGTTTTTGTCAATGCCTTTGGTAATGCTTTAACGTCTTGATTTTATGCTACTTCCTGATATGGCTCAGTGGTGACCTTTTTGATACAGTGACTGTGTATTCCTTCCATCTACTTTTTTTTAAATTTTTTGGGTTTTTTTAATTATATTAGTTTATTTACAAAATTCAAAATACACTGTTTTCCAGAACTGATTCTTCCAATTTCTCTCTCCCTTCCCCCATCTAATTGAACAACTCCATGATTAATCTCTCCCCCTGCACATCCTCATCCCTGCTTCCACCCTCTCCTCCCCACCCTTGGATCCTTAAACTCATTTCTACAATTTTTTGATGCTTTCTGCATCAAATTTTGCCCCCAGAATTCTTTAGTATTGCAACTCAAGGCTTGAATTTTTTCTTCGGTTCTTACATCTTGAGACCTGTTGAGTATGTTCTGCCCTTTTAGTTTTCAAATACTAGTTCTTTGCACATACTTTGCTTTGTCCTCCCAACTTGCCCTTTGAAATCTGTTCACGTCTTCTACTTTACAGTATTCTTCCCTTTGTTTTGGCTCCTTTCTAGGGCAAGTTTCAGAATCTCTTCTGGCATCGATTTTGGTCTTTATCTCTTGTTTTTTTAACAACCTTTTGCTTGCTTTAGGACAGTGTGTTCTACAGAGTACAATGAGTCAGCACTGACTTGATAGTAGTAAGTGGGGTTTTAAAGGCGGGGGGTTGTTTGGTATAAAGATCATTAAGACATAAAATAGAAGAACACTGTCATTCAAAGGAGATTTTGTCTGAAAATATGTAAGGCAACCTAGACAAGCCTCTCTCTTTACTGGTAAAGATTTGAAGTTCAAATCAATCAAAAAATAATTTGAGTGGCATATGAAAACATATGATTTGACCCAAAGGTGCTTGAGCTAATGTATAATCATAAAGTAAAATCTCTTCATAAAAAGAGATCAAGGCTATGAATATTCTAACCAAATGTGATTCCCTGACATCACTAGAGACCACACAACAGTCTTGTCATTATTATGTGCTGTCGAGTCGCTTGCGACTCATAGCGACCCTATCTACAACAGCCCTAAACTCTGCTCTGTCCTGTGCCAATCGCACTGTCTCCAATACACCCATCTTGATTACCCCAGTCACTGAATCAATCCACCTCATACAGGGTCTTCCTCTCCTGCACTGTCCCTCCAACCCTACCAAGCATGATGTCCCTCTCCAAGTACCGGTCCCTCCTTACCACATGTCCAAAGTATGTTAGAAGGAGCCTCAGAATCCTTGCCTCCAGGAAGCCGCTCACTTTAACGGTTTCCAGGATGAATCTGTTTGTTTTCCTAGCAGTCCATGGTACCCTCAATACTCTTCGCCAGCAACACAGCTCAAAGGCATCAATTCTCCTTCTATCCTCCTTAATCACTGTCCAACCCTCTGATGCATAACAAGTGATGGCAAAGACCATGGCCTGTATCAGATGCACCTTAGTCTCCAGAGAGACACCATTGCTCACAAGTCTTAGATACAATATATTAATATGGATTTAAAAATCAAAATCTTTACGCAGCAATGCTTCAGGTAAGGCAACAACCTCATTTTCCAGACAAATGATTTTACCAACAAAATTCTGCATATTGTAGGGTACTGTTATTGTTGTTTTGTGGCGTGGAGTTGCTTGCGACTCATAGTGACCCTATGTACAACAGCCCTAAACCCTGCCAATCGCATTGCCTCTGACACACCCATCCCGATTACCCCAGTCACTG